ACACGTGTGTACTGAGAACTCGCCCTTTACTCTAAATTGAACATGACACGCAACAATGGCTGCGTGGTCCAGATACTTCACTTGTAACGAGGAAGGTCGCATAACTGGTCAATGGGTCATCTAACTGTTTGTCGTGTGCTGTGGACCTCTTGGGTTCGATTCCCGGATCGGACCAAATGCTTGTATGATCTGCAAATATTTGTTTTGGAATTTGGGTGTTTTCTATGTATAATATGTATGTATTTACAAAAAAAAATGTATAAATAGCTTTTATAGTACAAGCTCTGCTTAGTTTGCAACTAGATGGCGTTGTGTGTCAGATGTCAATAAAAAAATTTTTTAGAGGAAAGATGATGTTTTTATTATTTAACTAAAGGCTTCTTAGTAAGGTAAATCAACATTTTCTAGTATTTTAGGAAAACTAAGCTAAACACTATTTGGTGAGAAAGTAAAGTCTGTATATGTTTGTGTACGTTAGAGTAAGCTGTAAACTCATAACCACTTGTACTTTAAAAAGAGATACGAGGAAGAGTACAAGATGTCTTCTAACTAAATAGTGGAATAATGCGTCCCCACAATAGTGTTTGCTGTTGTATCAAGTATCCTCGCGGGTGTCAGGTAGCTCTTAGTAGCCAGTGAACACCGCAGCACGAGCTACGTTGGCCAGGCCTGTCTCTAGCCTATTGGAGGCCCTGGGAAAATTAGCTTAATGGGGCCCCTACGAACTTAGCTGAGCACTGTTTTGTTAGAATAGACAAAAAAGTATTGTAGTCAGTCATTACAAATGGATTTATCGAAATAAATATGTTTTGTTTTTTGGTGATAAATATTCATTTTCGATTGGTGATCTGGCAGGAATCGGGCCTCTCTCGATCGAGGGGCCCTGGGCACGTGCCCAGAGTGCTCAGTGGGAAAGAGGGGCCTGACGTTGGCTCAACTGGCTTTATCTGATCTCATAATGGTGAGCTGCGAGTCTAAAACTAGAAACAAAACCCGCTTACCAATTATAATACCAATGCCCCCGTTTTTGTGTTTATCAACACTCCAAAGCCAATTTATACTCGTAGTATTCTACCAACCAACACTGTTAATCTATAACGATATCCATAAAATAGTTATATTGCAACAATATCAAAGAGGTAACATTTCATACGACGGTTTCAATACCTGGTACTGTATGAATCTAGGTCGGATTTGATAGCCGCGTAGATTATTACCAGTTCGTACCCAGCTTAAAATAGGTAAACGAATGCTACGCTTTAAGGTGATGAATTAAAGATAAATTAATTGAAATACTGTAGAATAAGGTTGGTTAATATTGTAAGAAAGAAAATAATATAATGTATCTCACACATTTCATACGGCCGTCTGATCCCAAACTAGGCAGAGCCTGTACTATGGTAAACAGACTGCTAATAAACATACTTATATATTTTTAAATAGATACATATTATTGATAAATTACACCCAGACACAGAACAAATGACCGTGTTCATAACACAAAATTTGTCCTGGGTGGGAATCGAATCGTCACTAACTAGACTAGATCAACAGACCCGTCAAGAAAGAAAGAAAGAATATTATTCATTCCAGCAAAGAAAATAAAAACCAAATAAGGTTTAAAAAACACATGGCAACATTTTTCAATGTGTCATTCTTTCATATCATTGTCAGAATTGACATAACACGTCAATGTGCCACGTATCCAACCACGCGTCTATAAAATGTTACTTATCAACCTAAGAACAATAAAGAACCTTTAATGTTGCTGAGGGTTGTATGCCGTGTTTCAGATAATAGGTGGACCTTCAGTGTACACTGCGATGGATAGATGCCACCTCAGTACTGATTTTCAGTGTTCACCTTTTATTTATTTTATTTTAATTCTTTTTGCACAAACAAAGTACAATGGCGGACTTAATGCCAAAGGCATTTTCTCCCAGTCTACCTTTGGGTGGTGGGGAAATGTCTGAGTAGGTGCATGAAATTAAAATTAGGTTACATACATACTGAGATACACATACATATATATACTTGCTGAGTTACATACATACATATAGTACATACGTATATATACATATAACATTGTTAATTGTTATTCCTTTAATATTCTAAACTAGAGCTCACCAAACGTATTTACCTTGCAAGCCACTTGAAATATGTTTGAGAGTAGACTCCCTGTTTAGTTAATATTACGTTTTTGACTAATTTCGAACTTAAAAATGTGGAGCTTCGTTTAAAAATTTAAGGCCCCCATGGCTATGAATTGTTTAACATTACGATACGACCATTACGAGACAAGCAGTGCTCATAAACGCGGGAGAAACAGCGCAGAAATGCTAGACTACAAAGAGCTACATAAAGCTGACATTCTTTATAAAGGTATGAGGCACGGAACCCTAAAATATAACACAATGTAAGCTGACCTTCCCCGTAACATATAGGAGTCGCTTTAAATACATACTAACTTTAAATTGTGCAGGAATTACACTAATTTGACGGATAGTACAAGAGAATTTGTTTAAATAAGTACGTAATCATGCAAAAAAACCTTTTCAGCTTTTTTGTGGTATATAACGTAAATATATCACAGCTGTAATATTTATTTCCCTTTATTGTTATAAATATGCTGTAAGATCGTATTCTAAATGAATATCAATAATTCATTAGAAGTCCCTGGACACCTACCATAATAGCCTAGCACATATAATAAACAACATTTATACTTCGCACCAAGTTGAATAGAAGTCGTCTAAATCAGACCCAATGCTTAGTCACCTGGTGCCATATTTAAACCCACATTTTGAAGCCCTGGGAAAATAACTCCTCAAGTTACTCTATCAGAGAGCCAAGTTAAACGCAAACCAATCAATACTAAGTTTTACTTTGAGTAAAATTCTCGCAACAGCTTCTGTTTATCTCAATATTATAATTGATTTATGAAGTTTCGAAGTTGAGAAGTAGGTAATACTTACATCAGTATTAGTTCACTAGCAACTTCTAATAAATAATTCATAGGAAAGACAAAAGCTACATTGAAGTTTTGTTCGCAACTAGCGTAGATAAGATCCTAGAAAATTATTCAGTCATAAAAGTTCCAAGACCACTATCTCTTCAACATTACTATTTCTGGCGCTGAAAATACTTTATTACTATTGTCGTCTCGTACGGAAGGATTTATTGTTTGCACCTATTTGTTTACAAAGGCAACTATGGGCTCTGTAGTTTCATTCAATATCTAGTCTTGGTGTTTTATTAATCACCACTAGCCGCGGTTTATCAGATATATTTCTATTCCTTGCTCATCCCACGGGTACATAACATTTTTTCGGAATAAAAAGTAGCCTGTGTGTTAATCTAGGCATACCAAATTTTATCAAAATTGGTCCAGCCTTTTGAGGGTGAAGAAGTAACAAACATACAAATACACTCTCATAAACTTTGGCCTTTATAATGGTAGTGTGATAACAAGGTGTAAAAATGCAGCAAAGGGGTGAACCCCTTGATTAAGGGCCCTGGTAAAGACTAATAGTATTCGATCACCCCTACATACACACGCTATCAAAACAGTATAAAAACACTGCCTCTAACAGTTCCAATAAGAATAATTTTATTATAATTACAATAATCTGAACTCCACATTAATTAACTCAACCATTGATATTTAAGTAACATTTATAAGAAATATTGAATGATACAGTTACCGCTTTTATCGTGTTGACTAGGAGGCGAGATGAGGCTGATTTGCTGAATACCAGCGGACAAGACTGACTGCCATATGTTTATACTGTCAATAAGACTATTAAAGCCGTCGAAGATTGGTGTAGCGAGAACAAATATCTCTGTGTGCTAACAGTAATTTAATTTACAACATCGATTGAGTTTGTTATTTCTGGACAATTGCTTCGTGTCCTCGGAGAACATTGCGTATGCTTAAATTTGAACGGTATTTTGTGTATATATTTCCTGGAATAGGAAGCTATTGGAATAAATGGCTAACAAAATAGTGAGAATAATGTTAGTTTTTCTTAAGTGCGAAGTTAGAAAAAGGCACAAAAACATTTGTATTATTTTTTATTATTTGTCGTTATTGCAGAAACAGGAGTACATATTCTGAAGAAATTTACGAAGAGATATAGACTGTTAGCAGACAGCTGGACGTTGTAGACTTAGTTAGGTTTTTGTTGGCACTCTTTGTATAAATATTTCAATTTTACACTTTAAATATTTACTATACAATCAATTGTGAGCCTTATTACAAAACCCAATCGAACTTTCAAAAATACTGTTTCTTTTTAAAGATATAGTTGGTTAAAAGTGTGTGCAATGCTGTGCAAACATCGCTGACCATGCCAGACCAGTGGGGATTTACAGATTTGTCTGTATACATGTTTGTTGGGTTGAACGCGCTAATCTCAGGAATTACTGGTTCAATTGAAAAAATCTTTTAGTTAGTTTTGGATAGCCCATTTATCGAGGCAGGCTATATAACATTACGCTACCATCAATGGGAGCCGAGCATCAATGAAATATGTTGCAAAAATGGGGAAAAATCATTTCTTTTGGGGGACGCAGACGAAGTTTTTTTTTACACATCTCACACGCGGCCGTCTGATCCCAAACTAGGCAGAGCCTGTGCTATGGTAACCAGAATCCCGATAAAAATACTTATATGTTTCTAATTACATACATAATATAGATAAATTACACCCAGACACATAACAAATCATCGTGCTCATCACACAATTATTTGTCCTGGATGGGAATCGAACCCACGACCTTCGGCTTAGCAGTCAGGCTCACTAACCACTAGACCAACAGGCCCGTCACCGGTTTAGCTAGTTACATATACAATGATGTATTTAATTACGCTTTCCAATTTTAGTACTTCTCCGCTATGACTTTAAGGTATATTTTAACATGCATAAATAAAATAACTACGTAAAACCAGCACTCCGCACCTATGATTTAGACAATAATATGATGCTGTACGTACTCACCATGGATATCTGATTGGTCCACTCGGAGTGGTATCGCCACGAGTTGGTAGTGTTATCCCACACGTGTAGTCTGGACGGAAACCCCACTATGCGGTCAGGGAACTCGCGCCACACGTCAAAACTGAAAACAAAATAAGCATGTTTAGACATTTTACATTTTGTTATAAACTATACCATGGTTTAAAATAGTTTAATTAGTTTAAAAAAGACAACTCCCGCACTAGGAATAAATCCTGTGTCGCGGGGGAATTTACAAACATACATGAAACGGACACAAAGGCACCCACCCATACTTAGAACAACAATTTGTGGATCACACAAAGTGTTGGCCCATGTGGGGATCGAACCCACAACAATCAGCGCAGTAGGAAGCGGTTAGGTAACCGATTAAACCACTACGCCATCTGTGCAGTCCAATGATACCACACATTTATATTATACAATGATACCACATTGAAAATTGCAAGGCGACTTTCTTGAAGTTCGTATTCAGTTCCGTTCGCAGGCTTAACAAAAACAATTTGGTTTGTGTAGACGCAAGAGTACTCGAAAAATAATTTGAAGAGGCGTAAAGAGGCTTCCCATCTCCTCTTGTGGATGCCTTAATTAAATAATTGATAAGGAGGAATAAAAAATACAAAAGTTATTTTTAGATAATAATTACATTTGTTAATGGTATAGGCGGCAAACGTGCAGACGGGTTACGTGAGCCTGTCATTCCATTGACACGCTATTGAGATGCCATTGAGACGCCATTGATATCGGTCAAAACATCGGTATTCTACTTACATAAATTCACTGTCGATATAGTGACAATAGCTCATCAATGGTGATATGAACAACGTTGCCATATCAGCAAATTAAATATATAATTTCCTTACAAATTTAAAATGTACCGTTTACCAAACTATTAAAAAAACATCGACGACTACGTATCAGAGGTAGTTCAGTGATAAGTCCAATAGACTTACATAGTTAGTAGAATAGGAAAAGTGCAAAACTATTCCGACGACGACGACTATGTGCTGCCGTGGTGTTATTATCAAAAAATTGGCCTTCTTTGATAGTAATTGTAGTTAAACCAAATCACTATTGATAATGTCCCCCTTTTACGAAATCAGTCAATGACATAGAGGATTACGATAAATACTTGTATCACGCTTGTAATTTTAAGATAACAATTTTCATATAACTATTGTAACCTTGTTAACTAAGAAATTATTTGCAAAACTAGGCCTATCTTCATTCAACGCTATATGTTTACATAACATGAGGTAAAATGTGGAGGAATGTTACAAATTCCGAACAGTACACCAACAATAATCTCCTAAATTCTTAACTCTCAAACATTTCACTGTTTTCGTTATAACATTATGTATTCTCGGGTAATCTCGCCTCGCAGAAATGTCTGTAAACAAGACGTCTATGTGTGCCTATCAAAAGATTATCGTATAGATAATAAAGGCAACGACCTATATCTAGAACTGGTGTCAAGTGTTTTTGTTTAAGGAAAACATTTTCTTTGCTGTTGATATTTCTGCTGTTTATAATGCAAGTAGGTACTCAATGTACGGCAGTTGCTTCTTAAAGATAGCTCGTTATAGTCTTAAAGAGAATAAACGAGAAAACGTAAAAGTTTTTTTATTCCATTTAGTAAATTCGATTCACGGTCTTTTGTAACACTGATATTATATACGAGCAATAATCAAAACAAAATCAAAATAATCAAAAGCACAAACGGGTTAAAATTTAGATAAAGCTTTGTCTTACAAATACCCTAAGACCCTGAGTTCTCTGGATACCCTTCAATATTGATTCATTCATCAAACCCTATACCAACCCGTCTGGCCAGCGTGGTACAGTAGGCTAAATCCTCCTTTCTAAGGAGAGGCCTAGGTGTCATGATTAAAGGCTGTTGATGAATTTTGCAAGTGTTTAAATCAGTCTGACGAAGACAGGTAGTGTGCCAGTACAATGAACCGTGGATGATTCTGCACTTGTCAGTTTTGAACAGGTGAGTGATGTGATAAGACGATAACATCATTATGTGAGTTACATTTTCAAAGTATAATTAGTAGAATTGTAAACAACTTTTATTTACTTATGAAACGGGGCACTAGAATCACCAGGTACCAGAATGCGCTTATTGTATGAATACTTATACGTAAAAGATACTTTAATAAATGGTTCTTGTAAAGAAAGTGAGCTGTTGTATTGATATTTCCAACATCAGGACTATACCATGCTAAACTAAGATTTTAAGATATTGTGGGTCTAATTTAGTATACTTATATGACAAAACTCAAGGGCTTTTATTTGTGGTGACGGATTAAGAATAAAGAGTGTCACCACCCCTATTCATCCCGTGGGTGTCGTAAGAGGCGACTAAGGGAGCGAAATACGCAGGACACCAGCACTGCAGATAGAAGGAAAACTTGACACAAACACTATACCAACCCGTCTGGCCAGCGTGGTATAGTAGGCCAAAACCTCCTTTCTAAGGAGAGGCCTATGTCCAGCAGTGGACTGTTAAAGGCTGTTGATGATGATAATGTGATAATCTCAAATTTTAACTACCAAGTTGTTTAATTATTTATGTGTAGGTAACCTATTTCTCAAGAAGATAGTAGTCTATTTAATATTACGACCGAGAACAGCAGCAACCATAAAGTCGAATAAAAAACGTGTCTACATCCAGGATTTTCTAGTTAGTTAATTTTAAGACAAAACATTACTCTTTTAAACTTCAAATCTCCAACGTTAAATACGAAACTTAAGTACGCACGTTCATGCGGTATAGTGAACATTCCAGCTCAAAGTCTTAAGCTTTATGATAATAAACGTTATATTGTTTACTCAAATAGGGCTATAAAGATCACGCACACCCACACACTAAGCCATCTTAGGAGTATCTTCTTAACCAATTATTAATCCACGTTTCAGAGGATGCTACAACAACTCATAACCCTTATAATTGTGTAGTTAAATTATTTCGTGTAAAATTATACTAAACATTTTGTCAGATATATTACAGGCTTTTTGAGACAGATTTTAGGGGCATTTAGCCACTGTTTAGAAACAAAGGAATACCCTTGAATATGATAATAAAATAATTGTAGATGCAAACTGGGGCATTATAGCTGTTTGAGCTCAACAAAATGGAAAATAAATTCACCTTTAAGAAGATGACAAGTAACCGGCATGTTTTGTGTTGTTTAACGAGTATTTATAGGCACTAAGAACTTTCTGTGAACTCCCGCACTTGGCATTTAATCTTGTGTCGCGGGGGACTTTACAAACATACATGATACGGACACAAAGAATATCCAGACCAACAATTTGTGGATCACACAAAGTGATGTCCCATGTGTGATAATTAGGGAAACCGGGAGGATTAAAACTCCGATAACGTCACTCACTCGGTTTTCTGCGAGTCTAGATATGACACTATACGCATATCGTATTAACCTGGTAAATCTCTGTGTGACACTGACTTGCAGCAGATAATTTTTTTTCCGTACTAATCTTTAATGTATTTACAACTAAGAAATCCCCTTTAAAAAAAAAGTTAAACCAACTTCAAACCATACTAATAAAGAGCACTAAAAACTCATCTTCAGATCTATATGAAATTTTAATGGGACCATTTCGGAATAAACACCTTAAAAAAAAGGATTTTCAAATCCTTTTTTTTTGTTTGACAAAAAGCATAACAAAATATAAACATCCGAATTGATAACCTCCTACTTTTTGAAGTCGGTTAAAATCAAGCTTTGGTGACCCTTCTTTCTTTGACAGAATTGATGTATCGCCAGATAATTAGGTTAGCGTCTATTTGTGTGATGGCTAGATGGCTTGGCGTTAGTACTTGAGTTCAAAACTAATCAAATACCTTACGAGGTAAACCATAAAACGCGAAGACGATGTAAAGGCTAGCCGATAACTTTTATGTGTGCTGCAGTAAAATTTGCTAATCTTGGTGGATCTCTACGTAATCAATTTTGCATTCACGTGGTAAGGGGCACAGAAAGTACATAGGCAGTACATAGACACCTCACGAGAAATAGCTCAATTGATTGACATAATTAATCGTTAGAAGGATGGCTCCTTCGGCACATATGAGCAGAATCAATTGGAGTGAGCTTCACAGAAAACCCGAATGAGTGAGGTAATCGACATCCCAATCCTCTCCTTCTCCATAATTTTGAAGGGGAAGCAGAATTTACCTAAAGGGTAGCAACGCCTTTTGTTTTTCTGCCGTTGAAGCTGTTCATGGGCGAGGATACTCACTTACCAGCAGATGGCTCGTCTGCTCGTTTGCCCTTTATTACTACTACTAAATATAACCAAAACTGCGAGCTCACATCACACATCAACAGCCTTTAATAGTCCACTGCTGCCTGCTGGATATAGGTCTTTCTTTAGAAAGGAGGTTTTGGCTTACTATACCACTCTGGCCAGACGGGTTGTCACGGATAAAGTGCTCAAGTGCTGGCAACAGCTAGTATGTACTCTACAACAAAATTAAACTAGAGCAAACTATGACAAAAGTAGGCGGCAGGAAGTTCCTTGGGAAACATACAATACGCAACTGTCTGGTTTAAAAGTTTATATTCTGTATGTTAACATAAATTGCTAAGATTGATACTGAGTGTTATAAATGTACAGAATAAAACTTAAGTTAGACAGCAAGAAAGTTCATGATACCTTTATTGAGAGATGATTCATATTGACTGGCCTGTTGGTCTAGTGGTTAGTGACCCTGACTACTAATAAGAAGTCGTGGGTTTGTTTCCCACCTAGGACAATTTTTTGCGAGATGAGCACGATCATTTTTTTCTGTGTCTAGGTGGAATTTGTCTACAATATGTATGTACTAAGAAATCTAAGGATATTTTTCGGCAGTCTGGGTACCACAGTACAGGCTCTGCCTCGTTTCGTATCAGACAACCATGAGTGAGATGTGAGAGGTTATTATTATTACATTTTATTTTTTATACGTTTCCGAATACAAAAGGTTTAAACTTACATTGCAAAGCCAAAAGAAAAGATTCGTGGGGAAGACACACTGAGCACCTGAGCACTAACTAGAATACCGTTCAAATCCAATGAGATGTTCTC